GGGCGGGGGTGGGTCCCGCCGGCGGCAACCCCGGCCGCAGGGATCCGCGCTGGGCTATAAAAAGCGGGTAAGTCGCCGCCGGGCCCAGGAGCCGGCTCCCGCCATGGCCTCGGGCCCGCCATTCCCGTCGCGGCCGTCGGCGTCGGGGCGCAGGGCCGTGTGGCGTCCGGACCGAGCGGCCCGTTCCCCGCCTGCCCCGTGGGCCGCGCGTCCGCCCGCGCCGGCCTCCCCCGACCCCGCGCCGTCCGCGCAGCCCCTCTCGGGCCGACCCGCGGCGCGCGACCTGGCTGGCTCCGGCTGGAGCGGCGGCTGCTCGGCCACCTGGGAGTGGCCCGGGAGCGCGAGGCGCCTGTGCGGGGCGGCAGAGCCCAGGCAGGGGGCCCGCGGCGGGGCGGCTCAGGGGTCCTGCACCCTGGAGGCCGGGCCCTCCCCCAGGTGCGTCCGCCTCACTGGCACGAGGCCGATTCACTTGCTTCTCCTCCTGGGAGGAGGTCTTGCTAGCAGGCGCTTCGGAAGGGGACTGTGGGAGTTGGGGCCCTGCTTAGGACGAAAAGGGGCGCGGGGTGGGGCGTGTGACTCGGCGTGCGGCTGGGCAACAGGGGGCGCTTCGTCTCGCGAGGATGCAAGGTGAGGGGGCTTCTCAGCGCCCTCTGGTCACGCAAAACGGGCTGCTCCTGCCACGGCCGCCGGCGACCTCCCCTGCACGCCCCGCCCTTCTTCGCGACGCCTTTGAGCGAGTCGTGCTGGGGCTCCCGAGGCTCAGGAACACCTTGGGGTTCTCCCAGGCCATGTTCGCCTGGCTCTCACCATCGTGGGCCGCTTCCTGCTTTCAGTGAAGGTCGGGAAGCCTTGGAGGGATGGCGACAGATGGTGGGGAAAGAAACCAACCTTGGCTCCCCTTTGCTGCCTGAGAGCTGCGGGACCCCGATGTTCAAACCAAGGTCATAAGCTGAATAACTCGCCCCAAGTGGCAGAGCTGGGGTGGGAACCTGCCAGTCTTACCCGTTGCCTGTCTGGCTCCGTGTCATGTGGTCCTCAGAGGTGAACTTGGGCAGCATGAGAGGACCTAGCTGGGGAAGGACTTCCTGTGTGGGGAGGTAGGGTGTGTTTGTGCAGGGCCGTGTTCCCAGTTTTTTTTAAAAAAAAAAAAAAGAAAGAAAGAAAAGGGCTTATTTTCTTAAGGGAAAAAAAAACATGCTTTTCAGTTTGTTTCCGGCATTCGCATTCTGCTCACGTTTGTTCCACACTATAGGTAAAAGAGAGGTTACTCCACCGTGTCACGATTACTTCCTTGAGACATGCTGTAAAAGTTAATGAAGAAGAGGAGGTACGTGTCCCTGCAAGGCCACGCGGGGCTGCATGTGAGGTACAGGGTTAACACTGGAGCACTCAGGTTTCCTGACGTGTCCGTGCCCTTGGGAATGGTGGGCATCTTGGAAGCATCACTAACTTCCCAGGATCTCTGCTGCCCCTTCCTTGGGCTGGGCACACCCTGAGACCCCACAAATGGACGATTAGAACAGCAGAACCATCGTGGCCCAGCAAACCCGGAGGCCTGGCCTCATGCCAGATGCATCTCGCCTCACCAGTTGATGCCAGATGCCGCTTCTCGCTAAGCAGAAGCATCTGCTGTTGAGCTAGGGAAAAGGTCTCCCAAACCATGTGGCTTAACGTCCAGGACCAGAAACTGGTCTAAGAAAGTTGCCTGAGACTTAAGGACTTGCCTATGTCCGTGAAACTGGTCCTTGGGAACTCTGGGACCCTTCTCGGAGAGGGGCAGGAGGACCATGTGCTGGGGGTAAAGGAGAAGCCCCCCGAGTCCCGCAGGCTTGCTCGGACTGCCGAGTCCGCTGTGGCTTCTGTTCAGGAGCAGACTGTCTCCTGACGCCCTTCCCAGACCTCCCCACCTCCGTCTGACCTCTCCCACTTCTGGGGTGGCAGAACCACTGCTGTTCCCATGGGGTCTCCCTGGGCTCGTCCCTGGCCCTGAGAAGGCAGGGAAAAAGTTATGTGTCCAGTTTCAAACCTTCAATAAAAACGTTTTTAACCTTTTTTTTTTTTTTTTTTTGAGACAGTGTCTCAGTCTGTTGCCTTGGGTAGAGTACAGTGGCGCTCATCAGCTCACTGCAACCTTGAACTCCTGAGCTCAAGCGATCCTTCTGCCTCAGCCTCCCGAGTAGCTGGGACTATAGGTGCACACCACCATGCCCAGCTAATTTCTTCTATTTTTGGTAGAGACGGGCCCTCACTCAGGCTGGTCTCGAACTCTTGACCTCAAGCAGTCCTCCTGCCTTGGCCTCCCAGAGTTCTAGGATTACAGGTGTGAGCCACCACGCCTGGCTCCTTTTTTATTAGAATATAATTTGTGTCCCCAAAACGTTGCTTTTGTCCAACTAAAAAGTAAATGACCCTTAAAAGAAGTATTTCTGGAGGTTATAGGAATACTTCATTTATCTAAAAATGTAGGACCAGGTCTTTAGTGCACTTGGTACTTGAATGTTTACTCATAGACAAGCCTTTAGTCCCTCTAGAGGAAAGTCAGTTTTTGCAAAACCAAATCACCTTCAATCGAGGTTGAAGGAAATGTGTTTGCAGTTGTGATGCTGAAAAAACCAGAGGAGGTTTTTGTCAATGGGCCTGTCTGGTGCAGACCAGGAATCTCAAAAGCACAGCTTTTTCTCTCCTTGACAAGCCACCATGGTAGGCATCAGGAACAGGAATGGGCAGGATCCACAGCTCCTGGAAGACTCTGGGCGAGTTCTTGCGGCTGAACGGGAGAGATGGCCCAGCCCCAGCCTCCAGAGCACCTTTGGGTATGAGCTGGCATGCAGCTGGGGGCGTCAAGACCTGTTTGCAGAGCGTGACCGTGTGATGCGCATCACACAACTACCAGAGAATTCGACAGATAGTGAAGACCTGGTGTCGCTTTCCTTTCTGAAGACTCTCCTGTGACAGGCCACTAGGAAACAACTCCATTGAGGTCTTGGATGCCCAGTCCCCGTGGATAAGAAAACAAAAGCTACTGTGACAGGGCTTTTGCCTCTTTATTTTCTTTTTACAGTTAATTCCACATGTAAAAGACTTCATAAAGCACTATGGCTCTGGCTATACCCCAAATGAGCTGCTGAGGGTGGAGCTGGCTGTTCTGGACAGACTGCACTGGGACCTCTGCATCGGGACGCCGCTGGATTTCTTGATTACAGTAAGTGGGAGGCGTTTGCGGAGTCTGCCCTAGACTCCTCTGTGCCTTTGGAACAGCCGTTCACCACGGAGGACGGCCAAGCACGGGCATGCACACGACTGGTGCGCGCACCACGGTGAGGTCACCCACAAGGCTCACGACACACGGAAGAGCGAAAACGTACCTTAAATCCAACACATCCCACCAGACTCCCGCTTCCAAGGGACGTGAAATTAACTTTACAAAGATTTTTAGATGGCACTATTATGGTGAGTTTCTCTTTTAAATACACACTGCAAAAATATTTAACTTTCCATTCTATGAATACTGTACATAAATAGCTGTCTGCTTTTGCTACACTTTACACACATTCACTTAGCTGTCTTTGTTCACCTACATACCATCCTTATTGAGGCTTTAGACCATATTGATCTGGCACTTAAAAAAATATCACACATTAGTTTGTATTTGTTTTAGTTGGGGAATGATGGTCATCCTTAAGGATATGATTCTGTTAGTAAGGCAAAATTATGCAATTTGGAAATGTCATGGGGTTTTGGTCTGTTACAAAGCATGAAGATTAAATCACTAAGGGCTGTTTCATTGAGAAAGCTGGCCACTGTTGCCAACTTGCAGAGTTTCTCATGTCAAGCAGATACAAGTAACTTCTCTGCTACCTTAATCTTATGTTTCTATTTTTTGGAATTGAAACATTGTCATCCAAGTACTTTCGGCTCAAAATGACCATGTCACCAAGCTGACTGTCTTTTCTCTTGACGGTTGAAGCTCAGCTTGGCCGCAGAATTGGCATTAAGCCTCAAGCCCCTTGTGGAGCCATGGATGGGAATGAAAAGGGCTGGGCAACATTTGATGCTCCCTGATGGAAATTTAAATCGTTCGCACTTTTGGTCATGGGTATATGAAAAGTATGGGGTTTTCTGTTCTAACGCTAAAAACCATGGTCTCCAGTTCCATGCCCTGGTGGTCCTGAGCTGGCCCCATGAGTTGGAGCTGCTGCCTCAGAGGAATCCTTCCCTCCACGCCGCATCCCTGACCAGGCAGCTGCAGCACTGCATGGCGGGCCACCAGCTGCTGCAGTTCAAGGGCTCCACACTGGCCTTGGTCATCATCACCTTAGAGTTGGAGAGGCTCATGCCCGACTGCTGTGCTCCTATATCTGATCTGCTAAAGAAAGCACAGGTAGACATCAACTTTGCCCCAGACCAGCCTCTGCGTTTTGCCCCTGTCGCTGCCCCCAGAAGGGTACCCTTGGCCCTCGTGGGCTCCAGAGGATGTTCCAGCCACAACTCCGGGAAGAGTCTGCCTAAGGGCTAGGTTTCCACACCTGGCTACGCTCTGTGGACTAGAGCAGGGACCCATGTTCCCTTCGCTGGACCAGTGGTGGTGGGTTTCTCGGACACAGAAGTTTTATCTGAGTGGCAATCCTTGTAACCAAGAGAATTGCAGGGCAGGGATGTGTCCAGCTCAGGAAGAAGCAACCTTGAGCTTAATATTGGGGAGTACAAATTCCAGACCCCTCACCTTCTGTGTGCGTGTGTGGCGCCAGGTACTGGGGTACCACGAGGCAGGCACGGAGGGGGCATGTCAGACAGATAGGTTAGGATGGCATGCGTAGTTAGCCCAATGACAGTTTTGCTGAGGCTGCAGAGGAATGTCCCTGAGACGGAAGGATTAGTGCTCTTTAGTTGGGCGGTCGGACCTTCCTGCAGTCGCTTCCCGCTAACGTTTTGGCCCTCAGCTGCCTAGTCCTCAGAATGTGAGATGCTTCTGCTTCAAGGATGGCTACTTTGTTTTAATACAGGTCAGTCTTGAGCAGTACAACGGCTGCAGGGAACTTGTAAAGCAGCAGCTGAGAAGTTTCTAGTCATCCTTCTGCATGGAAAACAGTGTTTCACCTGCCAACCAGCCCTTCTGCCCCTACCCCTGTGCCCTCAGAGCATAAAGGGAATGCTTCCTGCTTAGACGCCCATGAATTCTTTGGCTTTATGAATCCTGGAACAAGAATGGAAGAAGCCTCTGGAAGAACAACTGAGAAAAGGTTCTTGAGTCCTTAGAAAATAAGGGGGCTCGGGGGGAGGCAGGTTGGTAGAGGTCAGGGTGGTCTGATAGACCGTGATCCTGCCTTCCCCCTCTCTCCCCTGGGCCTGAAATCAGAAGAATAAATGAATACTCAAACCGCCCTGTGTCTTCCCTTCCTTCTCCACCAAGTGTTAGCACCGGCCCCTAAGAGCTGCAATGTGAGGCCAGGAGGCGGTGCTTGCTCAGGGCTGAAGGACCAGGGCTGGTTCTGACCAAACAGTCCTTGCTGCTCCACCCGCCCCAGCTGGCCAGATCCTCCCAGTGTCCCGGGCTCATCCCACACATGTGTGCAGTGCGTCCAGTCCCAGCTACCCTGTCTGCCACTCCAAACATGTCTCTCCAGACACATGGACCCTGACATGGCCATGACTTATGTCTTCTCCTCACAAGGACTGGATTATGAAGTACGCTTTGTTTAATGTACAGTAACTTGAGCAAGCTTTAGGCATACTTTTCCTTTGTTACTCTTTAAGTAGTTTAGGTTATTAGTTTAACCAGAGGAATTTTACACTAACGAATGGGCATTACAGGCTAACACCTGTGACGGGGAGTCATAGCTCTACGAGCCTTTTGTTGGGACAAGTAGGTTCTGAGACCGAGCCTGCTCCAACCGCTCTCCTGCCAGGAGGAGGGGGAGGAGACGACTACATGGCATCGCCGCAGAGCCTCTGCGAAGCTGAGCTGCTGCGCAGGGGGGTCCGGCGGACACAGCACCGGCTGGAGCTGTGCGAACAGCGCTGGGATGGGAATGACTGACCCAGCACTCAGAGGTGGTTTGTGAAGTCTTTGCCCTGTGAACGGTTTTTTTGTATTGCCAAAGTACCCCTTACGAGCTCTAGAAAGTCTTGTGTGCTGTTCGAGCTTGCCTTGGTCCCTGGCCTCATCCTACTCCCCTCTAAAATTCTCCTCTGACATTAGGAACTCACATCCCCCCTCAGCTCAGAGATGGGGAATCGCTGTTGTGGGAGAAATACGGACACAATCCGTCTTCCTTTTGCACCTACATGCAGAAGGGCAGCGCCTGGTGACGCACCGAGGCTGCAGAACGTGGAGATGGGGAAGCCCAGAGGCAGAGGCCACGGCAGTGGGAAAGGCAGGCGGGCTGCGGGAGGCACAGGGCCGAGGGGCCTTGTGGGCCTTTCTTAAACTGTCCAACGGCACTTCCCCCAAATGGGCGAGGCGGCTGCACAGTGGTGGTCCCTCGACCAAGGAGGCCCTTCTCCCCTGGCCTCCTGGAGAGTCTCTGTCCTTCAAAGCTCAGTGAAGACTCTGCCTCCTGGCCACCTGCCTTCCCACGGGTAGAGCTGTGCTACCCCTGCATTAGGGAGGTCTGCGTGCCAGTCTCCCTGCCAGGCTCCCCAGCCTCTGTCCCCGTTTTCTCATTTTGGTCTTACCCGTCTACCTAGGACCCAGCAGAGAAAGTTCCTCAACAAATAAACACGTGTATTTGTTATCACTTCCTTTAACCCCCAGTCTGTCCTTCCTCCGCCAAACCTCTGCCTGTCCCTGGGGCACCCCTCCTCTGCAAAACCGTTTCGGGTCCAGCAGCCCACACTGCTGACTGTGCACGTCAACACTGGCCACGCTCCCGCTGCTGTCCATCATGTCACTGGGATGCCAAGGAGCGCAGGAGCGCAGGAGTTAAGGGTGCAGACCACCGACATTCAAATCTCAGCTCCTCCAGTTACTTGCTCTGTCACCTGGGTGATTAAACTCTCTATGCCTCACCTATAAAGTGGGGGGATAATGGCACTAATCATAGGATTACGATGAGGATTAGGGGAGTTAATGCATGTAATGCACTCCAGAGAGAGCCTGGCACAGAAGCATCCGATGTTAGCTCTCCCACGTCAAGCCTCTTCCATAAGGGTGTCGACTCCTCCGGGGCAGGGTGCGCCTGCTCTCCCGTCACGTGTCCAGTGCCCAGTAAAGATTCATGGACCACAGGCCACATCTTCTCCTTCCTCACTGTGACTGTTCCTCCAGCCCACACTCATCCGAGAGCCTTTCACAGATGAATAGCAGGACTCCCCACTAAAATGTAATTCCTACAGAAGTACAGCAACCTCCACGAAAGTTCACAGAAAACACAAGCTGTATTTTACCACAGTTACAGCAGATTAATAGGCTCAGGAAACTTGTTAAATCAGAAAAGCTACTGCCCAAAAAAAGACACCACGAAAACTCAAAATAAATGCAAAAATTTAATGGGAAAAAAAAATGAGTACAAAGTGAATGGAAAGGAACAAAAACAGTCAATGAATGAGGCAGTAAATGAATTAACAAGTGAAGCAGTCTTAGAAAAGCATGTTAACATAACAGACCAGCAAGCAGCACCTCCTTCAGCCGCATCCAGTAACACGAGCCCCACTTAACAAGCAGTCCACACGCAGACATACACAAACACACATGTTGTCAGCCTGCACAGTTTCAAACCACCTACGTCAGGTTACCCATAACTCGGGAGACCACACATCCCAGTTTACTCGGAACAGTTCCGGTTTGTGCCTGTTGACCTGGCGCATTGGTTAGCGACATCCCCTTTCTCTCTCAAAAGTCCCAGTCTGGACCATAAATTATATGGTGATTCTTCTATTCCAAACCAACATGGTTTATGAAAGAAAGACATGATAGCAAATGTCAACATGATCCTGCATGACAACCGAAATGATGCAAACACATGACGACGAGAAAAAAAAAGGGATAAACTAGATCCTGAAGACAAGGTCACATTCCAGGAGGGTAGCTCGTTAAATAATGGCAAGTTTTAAGCTCACCGTGTGCACCAAGGATTAATTTGGTCTCAGCTAAAGATGGCAAAATTCCAAACACAAGCAGCGGGGGGAGGAGCAGTGGGGCTGGCTGGAGCCCACGGGACCTGTGCAGGCAGCTCAGACCCCAGAAAATCCAGGTCTGCGAGGTCTCCCCAGAGACGCAGGAAGTCTTGGGCCCACAGGCTAGCAACCAGCCACAGTTATGCCCTTCCAGTACGCCCAGGGTGGGGCCGCAGCTGCCCACTCCAGAGTCCCCAGGGTGGCCCAGGAACCAGAAGTTGTCACCTCCTATACAACCAACGACCTGCTGGGTCCCATCTTCAGAAAGACATTAGCTGAGAGAAGCTGTCTTAGAGGTCACGCTTTGACCCAGCTGAACACACTTTCAGACATGTGATTACCCTAGAGACGGGCACCGCGCGGCCCGCCTCTGCCTTCCTGTGCCGGTTCACCTTTTCGGATGCCCACCTGGAAGCACCAGTTTCCAATCACAACCAGAGGCGGACTGATTGTGATGCTAATGAGCTTAATCTTCAGGGCCCCTTCCAAGGCCTGTACCTAATTTTATTTTCGTATTCTTTTTCTTAAAGGAGTCTTCCTAAATATTCAAGCTCCGGCCCCACAAAATCCAGATCTACCCCCGGTCCTGGCATTAACGGCTGGAGAATTTTCACTCTGAGCATCAGCAGAACCCCCTACTCCCAGCACGTGGAGCCCCTCCCGTGGAAAGGCGCCTCTTCCTGGCCGTGCCTCGGTGGACACAGACAACTCTCCCCTCCGCCTCCCCAGGTGGAACGTCCTCTCGGAAGGGCAGGAGGAAGCCAGGACTTGGTCCCGGAAGTCAATAAAGCAGGCCAGGCAGAAAGGGGGAAGCGCGATGGCCGGGAGGACAGCGGGCGTGAAAAGCAAACCACCAATTCGACAGTACGTCAGCGCAGCCTCCTACGAGGCTGGGGGGCTCCTGGACTAGGGGCTCCTTGAGGGCAGCGCCCTGTGGTCCTCCGGGCAGCCCACGCCCAGCACCGCGCTCCCCCAACGCCAAAGGACGTCCTTCCTTTCGTCTATTCGTTTCCATCTCCCATTTTACCAGGCCCTGTTCTCAACCTGGATACTCTCCGTGGCGTGGAAACCAGCAGGAGCACAGGAGACTTGAGGCTGCTAGTACTTTCTTGAAATGCTGCCCTCCAGAGCACAACTGAAGGGGAAAAGCTCCTTGTCTGCCCGTCTGTCCCTAAACTGTCTGTACACGTCTGACACCATCGCCTCTCCACCCTGTGACTCAGCCAGGAAGGAAGAAACAATGACCTTGAGGTAACGACCTTCCCCGCTGAGCACTCTTTGCATTCGGAATACGCAGGACTGGGCTGGGGGTGGGGTTTAACTGGAGCCGGACACGGACACACACGGCGCTCGTCCCTGCTCACAGGGAGCACCGCTGGGCACACAGACAATGGCTTCGGGCTGCTGTTCCATTTACATTCACAGTAGAAACACCGGACCTGGTCTTATGCATGTTCCACTTGCATCCGGAAAGAAATTCCAAACACTGTCATGACAGGAAGTTTATTACCCGCCTCTCCCTGTATATTATAGGAGTACTTTTACACATAAGAAAGGTTTAGAGATATTTTTAGTTTTTAAAAACCAGAGAATCTGTGTTATTTATGAAAATAATGGGAGAGGATATTATTTGTCTTTATGCTGGTGCCAAAATAAAAATTTAGAAGTGTTTTAAAGTTATTATTAAAATGAAGCTCCAGGTTAGAAAAATTAAAATGAAGGGGAACGGGGCGAATTTTGCAGCATGTATACCAGACCACGCGGCCGCGCCTAGGGCGCCCAGTGAGCTGCCGTCTCGACGCCGGACAACGAGGCCCAGCGTGGCCCGGCGTCGCCGGCCGGGGCCTCCGCTAGAGCGGCACATAACTGCTCCGTCAAGGAATAGTGACACTGTAAATGGAAGACCAGCCACTGGCTCTGAAAAAAATAAACCTTGTCAGTTTTGGATTCCAGCATTCATGGCTTTTGCGTGTTTGCATAGAGAGGGGGCGGCCCGCCGGGCCCCAGGCAGCCGGGCCGGGGGCAAAGCGAGGCTGTAAACAGTGGAGTCTGTACCGCTCCCAGTCCGTCCTCACACCATGTTATGGGAGAAGGGTCACAGGGTGTAACTCAAGCAACTTAACACATGAAAGACTAAAGTCCACTCTTGACATGTAAGTCTGTGCGTGCGTTAACTGAAAAATAAAAATAAAACAAACAGAACAAAAACAGACACATTAAAAGATACGCAGACCAAATCAAACAGAAGCCAAAGACAGCGAGACGGACACTGGGAAAGAGCAGTCAGTTTGGCATTGTGTCGCGCAAAGCAGAGAACTCGCTTCAGTTTGTGGCGTCCCGGCTGAGGGTCAAGATCTGATTGGGAAGTAATTTTGCAAAAATGGATTAAAACGTGAAGACTACGTATAATCGATCAAAGCCATTCAAATAAATGGTCACGAAAAATACCCGCTACCACTGCTCCCAAAAAAGGCCGACTCACCCTATGCCCTGACAAGGCAGGAGGAAGGGTGCTCCCGGCCACCCCACCCAGCCCACTCCTGGCCCCCGAAGGCCAGCACGGGGGAGAGCTCTCTCTCCCAGGGGCCAAACTGACTGGAGCTTCCTGGCATGTCCAGCAAACAGAAAAGACCTATTTTCCAGGCCAGGCCTGGGGAACATACCAAGGAGCCCAGGCCACATGGGGGAAGCAGGGAGACCAGACACCAGGGACAAACCCCCTGCCTGCACCCAACCTCGCTGGCCCTCCCACCCTGACCCGGCCACAGGTCCTTGTCTTCGATTTCTGAGTAGCTTCTTTGCAGCTTATCTCCCAGGGGACCCTGCCTACCTTTTCTTTCCCAGGATGGCCTGGGCCAAGCTGCCAGGAAGTAGGGCAAAGTCCCTTTGGGTGTCAGCCCCTGGGTCACAGACCTCTGCTCGCCCCCCTCCCCTTGCCCCAGGAGACACCAGATTTCTGAGCTGCCAGCTTGAAACCCACGCAGGTTCCAACCCACGAAGCCTCCACGCTCCCCACGCCAAGAGCTGGATGTGGGACCAGGGCCGCAAGCAAATGCCAAGCAGAGGGGAAAGTCACATGGCTGAGGGGAGCATGGGCTGGGGTCCCCCTTGGGGCCAGGCAAGGGCTCAGCTGCCCCGGCACTACCAGCAGCTGGCGGGGGGGACCTGGGCATCGCGATGGGGAGATTACACAGAGCAGGAGGGTTTGTCCCAGAGAACAGGACAGACCTTAGGAAGGAGAGTCGGCATCCAGATCCTATGTGCCTGGTTCTATGTCACTCCCCACCCCCAGGCTCCCCCAGGGAGAAGCTGTTTAACCGTCCTGTCCTCAGTAGGTGTCTGTGCCTCTATGCACACACTGGTGTTGGTAGACGTGTGCCTGAGCCCATGTGATAGGGCATGGGGAGACTAAGACAGCGTGTGCACGTGTGTGTGTGTGTGCTGCCTGTCCGGGTTAGGAGACGCAACATTAGGAGTGGAGGGGGGGTGCTAATGCCAGAAGCAGCACCCCAGGGCCACAGCTAACAGTGCACTTCATGGCCCTAACCACCAGGCTCCACTGCCACCAAGGAAGGAGGCGCCTGGGCACAAACATCCCCAAACACTCCGGGAGGAAACAGACCCCGAGAATGAGGGCAGGATGGGCACCCCTGCTTAGTTCCTGGGTCGGCAAGAGAAAGTCGGCACCTGATACCAGGCAGGGAGGTGCAGAGATGGATGAGACCCCTACAGTGTGATCTGGCCTGGGACCGTGAAGGAAGTGGGAGGCAGAAGGGGGTCCCCAGGAGCCAGGACACCTGCGCTCCGGCTAAGGGTGTGAGGACAGCGGTGAGGAACGCGACTCAGAGCTGCCCCCACCTGGCCACTCGGCTGACTGCAGCCTGGTGCTGGGAGAAGCCCCCTGGTCTGCCCCGCGGACCCAGCCCCCGCGGGGAGACACTGTCCTCCCTCTGTCCACGTGCCCTTTAAAACCACTCGCGCTGATCGAAGTGTCTGGGGGGCTAGTGCAGCTGGGCCTAGGTCCCTGCTGCCCTGCGACACGGGGCCCACCCCCACGACCTCAGAGACTCAAGAGGGACGTGCCACGGCCGTCCAAGCAGGACGCAGGAGCTTCTGGAATCTGGCTGGAAATGCTGATATTCCCAGGCCGTGTCCCTCTCCTGGCCTGAAGGACCTGCCCCGAGACCCTGCGGGACCGGCCCTCCCCACACAGCGGCCGGGGCTACAGGAGAGCCAAGGCCCGAGTGAGAACCGGGCACCCCAGAGGGCAGGGGGGACGGACGGGGAGGGCAGAAGGCAGGCACAGGCCCCCCGCGCGGGGCAGAGCAGTCAGATCGCCAGCGAGCGAGCGAAAGAGCAAGGTGAGCGAGACCGCCAAGCGGGGAATGAAGGGCAAGGACCGGGAAGACGCGCGCACAGCCGCCGCCACCTACTTCTTCTTGTCCTTGTCCTTCCTTAGCGGCTGCTGCGAGGTCGCGTGCAGGGCCTGCGACTGCAGCGCCTCCACCGCCGCCTTCCTGCGGGTGAAGGCGCTGGTCTCCTCCTCCAGCTCCCGGCGCTTCTCCTCCACCCTGCGCTTCTCCTCCTGGTGGACGCGCTTCAGGTGCTCGAACTTCTCGTGCAGCTGCGAGCGAGCGAGAGGGGCGGGCGTCAGCCTGGGCGCCCCGCCGCCACCGCCCTCCGCGCCCTCCGCGCCCGCCGCTCACCTCCCGCTCCTTCTCCTTCAGCTCCAGCTCCGTCTCCTTCACTTTGTTGACGAACAGCTGCCTCATCTCCTCCTCCTTCCTCTGCAGCTCGCTCAGGAACTCCTTCCTCTTGGCCTCGTACGTCTCCTGCAGGCTGCGCGGGCGCAGGGGAGGAGGCCGGGGTCACGGGAGTGGCAGGCGGAGCGGAGGGGCGGGTCACCCGGCACTGGGTCCCCACAGCCTCGCCTGGCGCCCGAGACCCCGGGGCGCAGGCGCCAGTCCGTGCGTCCGCGACACACGCCGCCAGTGCGGCCGCGCGGGGAAGGCAGGCTGGCTCCCCGCGCAGGCTGTCACCTGAAGGGCTGGCTGTCGCCGTCGCTGTCCTGGAAGCCCATCTCCTCCAACTTGCAGCGCCGGTAGAGCTCGTAGTGCCGGCTGTGCGTCTGCTCGCGCAGGTCCTCCATGTTCACCCGGATGAGCATCTCCCGCAGCTTCACGAAGTCGCAGTGATTCTCGTTCTCCACTGAGGGCAGAGGGCACGCGGGGGTCAGGCAGGCGCGCAGGCGCACGGGCGGGCAGCGCCTGGCACGGCGGTCGGGCTGGCGCAGGTCCACAGAGCCAGGGCCGGCCCGGCGGGACAGTGCGCGAGAGCAGCGGGGCGGGACGGGGGCCACACTCACCCTGCACCACGCCCCAGGGGTACTGCCGCGCTCGGACCAGCTTGTTCCCCACCTTCACCTCCTCGGTGCTGCCCACCACGGCAAAGGGCAGGTGAGCCTGGAGAGGGCCCAGGAGAGCGTGAGTGCGAGCTGCGGCGCCAATGGAGACTCCCACTGCCCCGGGCCCAGGGAGGAGCTGCCGGACTGAACAAAGGCCCAGGGCCAGATGCCCACTTCCCGGCTCTCTTCTGTAGCAAGCTAGAACTCCAAACAGGGGAAGGGGCCGAACCCTCAACCCCCTGCCTGGTGCTCCCCACTCTCTGGGCTGTTCCTTCAGCCTTGGGCTCCCCAGGGACCGTCACAGCTCCCTGGAAGGACCTGTGGGCCTGGCTCCCTCCCAGGTGCCCAAACCTGGCCTCAAGCCTGCCCACCTCTGCAGGTTTCAGGTTCCGACCCTGAGTCCAGACCTTGTGACACTCAAACCTGGGGGGACCCCCGGTGCAAACCCAATAGCAGATTCCTCCTGTCCCTGCCCACAAGACCTAGGCCCAGCGGGCCCCAAACGCCCAGCCTTCTGTCCTGGAGAAGCTGAGACTGGCATTCTGGGGACCAAGTCCCCTGGGGCCGTCTGAGCTCTGTGCTGGCCCCAGAGCCCCGAGGCCCTCGCCCAACGCTCACGTTCATCACTGCGTTAATCTCTGCGACGGCCTCGTCATCCGTGGGAAACTGGTAGATCTGGACGCCGTTGCTGACCAGCTCGCCCATGATCTTGATCTTGAACTTGTGGAGCTCGCTCTTGGAGATGGTGTCAGCCTTGGCGATGATGGGGATAATGTTCACCTGCCCAGATGGGGGTGGGGACGGCGGGTTGGCCGGCTATTTCGAGCAGTGGCTCCCAGACTGTGGACAGCCATGCCCAGGCCACGTCCCTGGGCAGAGGGGCAGGAAGCCAGAGAGATGAAGCTACTCCCGTGGGCAGTCCCGACCCAAACCCAGCCACCTGTGGCCGTTCTAATGGGTTGTAACAATTGGCCGCAGTGCTTCTCACAGCCCTGGCTCCCCAGAACCACATCCAGGCCCAAAGTGGCCCCCACTGGCATACCCAGCTTTGACCCAGAATGCTCTGAAGGTCCCAATTGGCCTGGGACCCGACAGCAGCAGTGGGGAGGGGGCTGAGCTCCCCACTAAGCAGCAGGACGACCTGTCAGCAGCAGTAGCCATAGGAAGATCTCAAAATCTCCCAGGCCAAGGTTATCCCATTTTTCACAACAAAAATTCACACCTGAGATGCAGAGGGCAGGGACGTGAGAGCTGACGGGTGACTGTGGGGCCACACGCCCTCTAGGACCCCCTACCCTTCCTGTCCTCCCCCCACGAAGCTGCCCTCACAATAGCCACTCCTCATCCACATCCCCGTTCTGGGGCTTAGCCCCCCTCTCCCTGGTGGGCTCAGACGGAACCACGGGAAACCCATGTCAGGGAGGAAAAGGGAAGTGAAGGCAGGAACTAGAATGAGGAATTGAGGGAGAGAAGTGAGCAGAGGCTGAGATGGGAAGGGGCTGCTCTGGGGAAGGGGCAGAGGGAGATGGAGGGAGCTTGGTGGGGGGGGCAGGGCTGAGAATGAGAACGGATTCAGCTGGAAGGAGGGAGCTCAGGCCCAGACCCAGGGCAGTGGGGGCCCCTGGGGCAGCAGAGACAGATGCGAGACAGAGAGGACCAGGTCCCGAGGACCACGGTGGGTGGTCCCACTGCAGCCACGTCCATCCCAGCGGGAGACATGGAACGAGGAGGGGGCTGGGGGGAAACACCTTGCTGTCCAGTTTCTTCATCGTCACCAGATCCAGGGACTTCAGGGAGTGCCCCGTGGGTGTGATGAAGTAGAGGCAAACGTGGATCCTCGTGTCGTGGTAGTCGAAGAGCGAGCGGCGGATCTTCAGCTCCTCCTGCAGGTAGCTTTCAAACTGTGCGTCGATGTAGTCAACGATGGGCCTGTAACTACAGACAGCTCCATCACCAGGAGGCAGGCGCTGAGCCGGCACCCGCTGGCCTTTCTCCCTGGGAACCAGCAGCTTCCCCTGGCGATCCCTGTCTGGGCACAGGTGGGGGCCGCCTCTCCCGACCCTCCAAGGGGTCACTGGTCAGTTAGCTACTATGGGGCCTCCGAGGTTGCCCCAGAGGCCTCCCCGGACCCCCTGGAGTGTGGGGCTCGGGTATTCATAGGGGGCAGCGTGGAGTGAGGAGCTCGGGCAGAGTTTTAGGACCGTGGCCACAGTGGCTGGGTGGGGTGGGGCTGGCTGGGGCCGCCCTTCCCGCCTCTTGCCTCTCATCCTTGTTGATCTGGTCCCCGAAGCCCACGGCGTCCACGATGGTCAGCTTGAGCTGCACGTTGCTCTCCTGGAGGTCGTAGGTCTGGGGCCGCAGGCGCACACTCGCCTCGTGGTGACTGGCTTCCTCAGTCTCGAAGGTCGTGTTGAAGAGCGTGTTCATCAGTGTGGATTTGCCGATGCCAGTCTCCCCTGGGGAATGGGCACAGGAGGAGGAGGAGTGGACATCAAAGGCCGGACCCGGGCTGTCCCCGGCTGGTGGCTAAGCCAGGCGGGGCCAGGCGCCCGCAGCCCCATACAAGAGGGGGGCAGGCCGCACACCCCGTCCCTTGCTGTCCCCACCCCCAGGAGCTCTCCCTTCCTCAGTGGCCGCAGAAATAACATGTGGAAGAAAGAGCCAAAAGGTGGACCTGGACACAAGGCACAGCCATGCAGGACGTGTGACATGTTTCCTGGGAAGTGGGGAAGCAGCAAAGTGGGCAGCTACGGAGGCCCCTCTGGCCTCGGTGGGACCAGGCACCCAACACGCAGCCTGCTCTGCACACCACGCCCCAGGCCCAGGGCGGCCACGGGGCAGCAGGGCCAGCGTCTGAAGCCCCCAGTGGCTCAGTCCCTGTGTCCCTGGCAACTCCAGCTCCACGTGACTTTGGTCGGCAGGGGTGGGGGGCTCCGGATCGGCTGCCCCCCCGAGGGGCACGTGCAGAGGGTCCGGCAGAGCACTCTGTGCCCCCCTGGGAGTCCCAGGCCTTGAGGTGCAAGGAGCCTCCCAGAGCCCCCGCCTGGGCTGTACTGGTTCGGACGCGTGCCGGGGCACTTACTATGTGACACTGCGATGGGCGCAGAGTCCTGTTTGCCATGATGTCCTCGACACACAGCAGGGACAAGCAAATGAGTCAATGCTTTTTAAATTAACAAATGAATAGATGGATCTAAATCTCTGTGATAAACACCCCCAGTTCACAAAGCACCTTCATGTGCCTAATCCCTGTTTACTCTCCATGACAGCTCGGCGTCAGGTCCCGGCTCCAACTCTGTCCTTGACTCCGGCAGAGACACCAACCAAACCCTCGTCCTGACCCCCCCCAAGTCTTACCCTGCCTGGGAAGCTGCCTTGCAGCTCTACAGGCATCCAGGGCAAGAGCACCCCATCTCCCGGGCGGTTCTCATCCAGCCTCGTCTGAGGCCGCCCTGGCCAGGCCACGACACTCACCCACGCAGAGGATGTTGAAGCTGAAGCCCTGAGTGACCGACTTGCTGACCAGCTGGTCCGGGAGGCTGTCGAAGCCCACGTGGCCGCCCAGGGAGAGGCTCCGTGGCTCCGGCTCTGCACTCTGCCAAGAGAAAAATGCAGCAAGGCCATCAGCCCCCTGGGGTAGAAGGGCCAAGCTGGGGGGAGGCTAAGGCTCAGTTAAGCCAGCCCTGCCCCCACGGTCTGGATTCTCAGCAAATCTCAGCACATACCTTGAGCACACCAGAGCCCTAACTCCCGGACGCCAGGCCAAGTTTCTGCAGAGAGAGCCCAGTGACCCTCAGGGCCCCGGAGTCCCAGCTTGGAAAAGGCCTTTCGCCCTGGGAAAAGGCTCTGCTCTACCTGGGATGGCCAGGGATGCCTGGGCCTGGGGCTCTATCCCTCCTGGCTCAGGTGGCCCCAGGGCCCAGGAAGAGGCCCCGATGGGAGTTTGTCTGTTCCTGCAGCCAGCTCGGAGGATGGGGTGATGTTGGTCCCAGACCTCCCAGACCCTCCTGCTGAAGCAGGATCCAAGGAGAGACAGGTCCGGCCTGACCCCTCACACTCCATCAGAGGGGCTCCCTGACCAGGCTGGGCCCATAGGCCTCCACATCCACCCCTGCTCCTCACGCAACCAAGCGAGGAATTCACAGACAGGCCCTGCTATAGAAGCCGCCCCCACTCAGACTGAGCCCCACTGGGGCTCAGGGGCGGTCTCCAAAGGGATGGTGACGTGACTCTCTGAGGCCTCCTCCCTCCTGCCTCAGTGGTATTCTCTGGAGACCCCTGGGTTCCTGCTCCTGCCATCCTCCTACTCCCAGCCCACGCCAGCCCTGGCTGTTTAGACAGAGGGTTCTGGGTGAGGATGAGGGGCCTTGGCAGAGAGATGGCAGCAGGCCCCAAGTGAGCGGGGCCGCTGGAGCCGGCTCACGGCACCATAAAACGAAAACATGAGGACCCAAAGCCGAGGGCCACTGTCGGGCTCCAATCCGTGTGAATGGTTCCCCGGCTCCCCTGGGAATGGGGCAAAATGATCCCAGGCTCCAGAGAGCTCCGTGGTGGGCAGAAACATGCCTCCTCCAGTGCCGAGCCCCGCTGCCCTGACCGTCAGCTAGAAAGAGGAAGGGCAGGAGTTCAGAACATCAGGCCGGGCGCGGTGGCTCACGCCTGTAATCCTAGCTCTCTGGGAGGCCGAGGCGGGCGGATTGAGCTCAGGAGTTCGAAACCAGCCTGAGCAAGAGTGAGACCCCATCTCTACTAAAAATAGAAAGAAATTAATCAGACAACTAAAAATATACAGAAAAAATTAGCCGGGCATGGTGGTGCATGCCCGTAGTCCCAGCTACTCGGGAGCCTGAGGCAGGAGGATCGCTTGAGCCCAGGAGTGTGAGGTTGCTGTGAGCTAGGATGACGCCATGGCACTCTAGCCTGGGCAACACAGTGAGACTCTGTCTCAAAAAAAAAAAAAAAAAAAAAAAGAACATCACCTGCCACGTGCCCACAGCTCCGGAAGGGAGGAAGCAGGCCCAGCCGAGGGCAGCCTGGGCTACTCACCAGGGCAGTGGCAAGATACAGGCCCGGGGGGCTCAGGTCCGGACGGGGGGCCATGCCTCCTGCCCGCAGAGGGCTCTCCTCGGCGCCAGAGCTGAGCACCTGGCGCTCTGCAGCCACGGTCCACTGGCTGGGCCTGAACCCCTCCCGCCGCTCTGACCGCAGCCCTCCGGCACCGCAGCCTCCTGGGCCGTGCACCAGCCCCTCAAACAAGTCAGCGCTATCCTTAACCTCGTCCTCTCAGCGGAGCCCTGTCCTAACAGCCGACCCTTCCTCCCTGTCACCGATGCCCAGGGCGTCACGGCCCAATCTCTCCACGCAAGCCCAGGCCCCTTAGGGCTGCAAACATAACCCGACAACAGTGTCCCAGAGGCAGCTTTCTCTCACTGGTGCCCGCATGAGAAACAGTAAACAGAGCCCAGGATGCTCGTCGGGTCCAACCCCTTAGCACGGAGTCCCAGGCCTTCCTCACGGGCTCCGCTTCGGCCCAGCGGTAACACCAAATTCGCTTTTCAAACTCTGCCCCTTGCCTGGGCTCTAGAGCTCGCTCTACCTCCTCCCTGGCACCTGCTCTCACCTGGCCGCCAAGTCCTCGCATTCCAGACCCTCACGTGGCAGGGATCCCATTCCCTCGTTCTGCTGGTTATCCTGTTTTTATAAATCTTGCTTCTCCACCTATTCCCTACGCTTCTCGAAGTTGGCTGGGGGAGGTCAGGTTTGCCCTCCTTCCCACCCCTCCACAGCTGTGCCCCACACGCCGCACACCACGCTTTGTGAGTCACCGAGCGCCGTCTCCACCGCTGCGGCACCGCGTCTGCCCGCCTTGCGCAGGGCTGCGTTACTTAGTCTCCGTTCCGCCCGCTGCAGCGGCTCGAGGATCGCGTGGAGGACGGAACAGTCTAGAGCTTTCTTCTTTTCAGGCGAGACTGAAAATCTCCAAAATTTAAGGCGTGCTGCGCTTGCAGAGAAGGCTCTGTGTTTATTCATCCTCTTCTTCCAAGGGTGACACAATCAGGATGCAATCCAGCATCCCGTAGTGTGCCGCCAAGACCCACCAGCCGGCCGCGTCTGGAAACCACACACACACACACACACACACTCACACTCACACACATATTCATAGTCTCACACACACACACACATTCAGTCTCACACTCACACACATATTCACACAGCCTCACACACATTCACAGCCTCATACACATTCACAGTCACACACACATTCAGTCTTACACAAACCACTCACACACTCACACTCACAACCACTCACACACATTCCGTCTCACACACACACTCACACACACAACCACTGACACACATTCAGTCTCACACTCACACATATTCACACACAGTCACACACTCACACATATTAACACTCACACATATTTACACACAGTCACACACTCATATATTCACACTCACACACATATTCACACACACAGTCACACACTCACATATATTCACACACACACACATTCACAGTCACACACACACAACCACTCACACACACACACATTCAGTCTCTCACACATATTCACACACACACATATTCACACTCACAGTCACACACACACACATATTCACAGTCTCACACACATTCACAGTCACACACACACACAGTCACACGCACTCACACACGCCCTGCCGCGGAGTTCCTACTGAGAAACAGGCCATCCCATTCCTCGGTTTCCCCACTTTCTCACAGTCCCAGCCACCGGGTCTCAGCCAGCCACCTGTCCGCGCTCAGCAGCTGCTGCCTGGCCTCAGGCGCACGGCTCAGCTCCCTCGGGAGCGCACGGAGCCCAAGGTCGCCGCCCCGAGCTGTAGCTGGAGCGCACTCATCGTTCCGGGGCTGCAGACCCGGGCCGTGTCCGCTCAGGAGCAGCAGGGACCGGTGGCGTCAGTCTGGGGAGCCGGGCGCACACGTACGCACGCGAGAGGAGGGCCACGGGCCCCGATGGAGACGGGGCTGCTTCCCCCGGTCTCAGGAGACCGATCTGACCTCCCACGTCTACCGAGGGGTGACTCTCATTAATGCCAACTCGCTGACCATACTCTTGGCATCAACGACATTGATCCAAGCTGCACTGCTTGCTCCAGGGCGCCTGCCCCGGCTGTCTGCTAAGCTGAGGGGCTCACAGCCTAGGAGGAGCCGGCAGTCTCCAAAGCATCTCCTACACGTCCCAGCGACCACGACTCAGAAATAAAGTCAGCAACTGACCACAGGTCCAAGTCCAGGGGTGGGAGCCAGTCAGCATGATCCCACGATGGGTCTAGGAACAGGCAAGTGGCCCAGGTTTGACCATTAGGGGGGCAGCCCGAGGCTGAAGTCACTCACAGAGGACCACAGAACCAAGGAAATCAAGAGAAGAGCCAGTGTCTGCCCAAGCCCTGGGCTTTCCCTTTGCCCCTGGCCATACCCCTGTATTGCTTAAGCTGGTTGAGTGGCGTTATCTGTGACTTGCAACTCAAAGCACCTTGACTGCCTTCAAAGTGGGACCGTTTGGACGCAGCGGAACAAGGAGAAAGCAGGGAGAGCCAGCAGACAGCCGGCCGGTGTGGAAGGTGAAACGTCTCAGGGTTTACAGCCAAAGGAGGGACGGATGTCACAGACGACACCAGCACCTCACTGAGGACCAGCGTGTGCAAACCAAGCCAAGCAGATCACACGGTCTCTTAGTCTTTCCCGCCGTGGGGGCAGACGTCATGACTGTCCCCATTTGACACAGAAGCTGGGGCACTAAGCAGGGCAGAGCAGGGATCTGACAGCAGGCCAACCCCACACCACCCTGCTGCGCCGCCTCCCCACGCTCAGCAGGCTGCCAACCACCCACTCGCTCCGCACGCTCCCTGCACACCCTGCTGCGTGCCAGGCACTGGGGCGGCTGAAGAGATGAGGACGCCACATCCTCGACCTCGGGGGCTCAGGTTAAACACCAACACCTACAGAGCCAGGCACGTAACGCGAACAGATAAAGGGGAGCAGTACAGTGACAACCATGACAACAATGACAACCTTTATCCAGTGCTCGCAACGTGCTACTCTAATTTAGTCTCATCCCATCCACCCAGCAGCCCCGTGACGCAGGCTGTAACAGGATTTCCACCGCACGGATGAGACGACTGAGGCACCAAAAGATTATATAACTCGCCCAAGACCACGCTGCGCAGGAAGGCGAAGCCAGGATGTGAATGGAGTCGGCGTGACCGCAGAGCCCACGCTCCTAGCCACACGGCTCCGCTGCCTGCTGGACGCAGGACAGCCGCTGACTCAGCCGCGCGAGGCCTCGCTGGGAGAGGGGGAATGGCGGGGAACCGCAGCGCCCGGCTCTGCTCAGTCCCCGGCGGCTGCAGTCCCGCGACTCCCAGCCAACTGTGGGAACGAACGTGGGGCTAGTGGCGCTGAGCCTTTCAATTCTTCAAGAGAATCCAGATTTTTATGTGAAATCCTCCAATTTTCAAAGGTTGACAATCAGTACAAACTGAGAACACCCTGAGGGCCCAACAGGACATGTCAGGGGGCTGGTCTGGACCAAAGGCCCAGCGGTCTGC